ACACAGTATGTAAAAATATACTAATTCCGAAATATTACAATAAAAAATTATTTTACAATACATGAGTTTTCACAAAATCGCGCATTCTTTAGCTCTGTAATTATTTTGTTTCTGCTTTTTCAATGAAACTAAATAATTAAAAAACTTTGATGAAATAACAGAAGTTATCCTGGAGTTCGATATGATAATTTAAATTTGAATCTGTTATATAAACTGAGCAAATATCAACAGAGAGAGAGAGAGAGAGAGGAGGTTGCAAGATATTGTGCGAATAATTAGACAATTATTAATACTTCACTCTTCTAAAAAACTATTTACGACTGTGTTTTAAATCATCTTCAGTTAAAGATAGATTAATTCAGTAAATTATGAAATGTTTTACACACCTTCTGTTTCTCTATAAGTTACATTATATTTTTGAAAGAACCGCCGAAACACAGCGTCAATTTATGTGTCACGAAAGTTTCATGTAAGATTAAATCAAAATTGAAATAATCAAATCTTTACGCGAAATATAACACTGTCAAAGTCAGTCCACAAATACGTTACAATTCAACAACGGTATAACATCGTGGGATACATTACCGGTTGTTAATTAAAAAACTGCATACTATATTTTATTATTCGTTTTCTTACATCTTTCTTTTCTTTGTGACTCGAGGATTGTGCATGTGGAAAAAATACGACTGGAAATTCAGGGTCAAATAAAAGCGCCCGTTGCGTCGCGCACAGGCGTTGCGTTGCGGTGCGGTGCATCGTGCATCCGCCATTTGGAAAGGAAACGCTCGGCGAAGGGGGCAGGGCCAAACGGTCGTGTCGGAAAAATTCTCATTTGGGTCCCGGCCAATGGTGAACCGGCGCGCGCGTGTATGTGTATGCCATGCGATGAAGAAAAACTCTCATAGGGAAAGGGTCGTGCATTCGACTGGTTTCCAGACATGTCTGCACTCCGTTGTTATAACAGCAAACGCATCTGCACCGCATAATTCGGACGTTAAAAAAAAAAAAAAAAAAAAAAACGAATGTAAAATCCAAATGTAAGAACTGGAAAAACTCGACGAAAGCGTGAGACATCATGCATTCGCATGTACGATGTGAAAGGACGGAAGAAAAGGGGGGAAAGGGGGAAAAGATCGGTACGAAGGAAGGTCTCTTTCGGGCCCATTGAACGCGCCGGAAAAATCCTCAACGGTGGCGGTCAAAAAGGGCCCCGCCCAAACGAAAAGCCTAAGAACGCGACAAAATGGTGGCGAAGTCGCGACAATTTAACGCTTTTTTGATGAAAATGCGAAAAATACAAATTCGTGGAGAACACGGCATCAGTAAAAGGGAAATTAAATCGAAGGTTTCTTGACCGTTTAAATCTGTATACGAGAGACTGACAATGAGTGAAATTTTGCATTTCTTATAAATTGTAGCCAGGAAATTATATAGATTTAAAAAATAAAAAAATTTACATACAGATTGGCGATAATTTTGTAAACTCTGTATAAGACTATCATTCCACGTACTTGTATCGATTCTAAAAATGAAGAAACCAACAACGATTTTCCGACGCGAAATTCTCGCACTCGCGCGCAATTGCAAAACGCAAACACTACGGAATGTAGTTAAGATTCATTCGAGAAAACTATCAATTAACGGAACTGCTTATGAACCGCAAACCGCGTGTCACTGTTAGAACGAACAGGAGTTCAAAGCCGAGGTCGCGAAGGCGCGCGCAACGATGACAGAATGGGCCGGCACACGACTGTGACCTTCCGCGATTTGCGATCTCGTTAGCTTTAACCCAGGACACTGCCCTCACGTTTCTCTTCAAACATTAGATACGACCGAACGTGTGTCAATATATATATATATATATAAAATTCCGCGACACAAGTGCAACACAAGATAAACGTGCGCGATACCTAATCATCGTTAATTTTCTTTTCTTATCTCGATTACTGAACATTTTACACAGGGCATTGGGTTCTCTGCAATTACTAAGCTGCTGTTTTTACTCGCGTACAAATTTTAAAAATTTTACCACTATTACGGCCAATCGCATTTACGTTGCACTGATTTCTCTTCTCGCTCACGCAGACGTTGTTTTTTTTTTCTTTGCGGTACAAGACGGTGCGTAATGTTGAACGGTGAGAACAGTAACTTTATTTTGAATACATATAAAAATTGAAAGAACCATGCTGTGTCAAATATATTATAAAAATAAAAAAAAAAATCTCTAATTTTGATAGACTAAACTTAACGACAATTGAGGCTTGAGTTTTTACGATATTCAATTTTACTCAAACCGTGTTTAGGAACCTTTTTCTTTAGGAAATATCAGATCTCTGAGATTACTCTCTTACTAAATTTTTTTTTCTACACCCAGCGCGAAATATAAACGAAACGTATGATTTGGCAAAATTTGGCGAAAATCGAATTTTCTCTGATTTTTAGTTCTTGCTTCTTTTTCACAAGAAATATACATCAGCTGGTTGTCAAATGACTCATTACACGTACTACCTACTCCTCACTCACACCGTAATGTGTTTTAACAGTCGGGCGTGCATACTTGATCGCACACTGTACGCGAAACGTTAAACGCGAGAGGTTGGTCTCTCGACGGCGGCGCGGGCAGCTCGCTAGCTTAAAAATTCGCACTGAAGTGTCATTTTTTTTTTTTTTTTTTTTACCTCGTTCACTACATGATCCTCTTGAAAACGTTCCACCGTGGACGTCGACGGGGATACAACATCCGAGCATTGGAAGTTCGCCTGTCAGTACACGAATCGAGCGTGCAGCAGCCAGCAAGCGGGGAAGTGCGACGTCGACGAGTATTTATATGTACATGTATATATACATATATATATATATATATATATATATATATATAT